CGACGCCCCTGGTGTCTACGACTTTGGCTACATCGATGACTCCAAGTACACCGGTTCCATCACCTACACGGATGCCGATAGCTCCCAGGGCTACTGGGGCTTCAGCACCGACGGCTACAGCATCGGCGACGGCAGCTCCAGCTCCAGCGGCTTCAGCGCCATTGCTGGTAAGAACTTCTTTCGGATTTTCTTACTTTCTCATTACTGATTAGTGTATAGACACCGGTACCACCCTCATCCTCCTCGACGACGAGATCGTCTCCGCCTACTACAAGCAGGTTTCCGGCGCCCAGGAGAGCTATGAAGCCGGTGGCTACGTTTTCTCTTGCTCTACTGACCTTCCTGACTTCACTGTCGTGATCGGTGATTACAAGGCTGTCGTTCCTGGCAAGTACATCAACTACGCTCCCGTTTCGACCGGCAGCTCCACCTGCTACGGCGGTATCCAGAGCAACAGTGGTCTCGGACTGTCCATCCTGGGTGATGTCTTCTTGAAGAGCCAGTACGTGGTCTTCAACTCTGAGGGTCCTAAGCTGGGCTTTGCTGCTCAAGCTTAGATCAACACTGAAAAAGTGGGGTATTTGATCTGCTGATTGATCCCTCGCCGATGGAATACATGTGGACACGTATAGCAAACGATGGTGATGATGTTGATATTGATCTTGATGATGACCCGTACATACTTGATGCAGCTTGATACATATGAATTGTGAATGTATGTAGCTAGGTGATGAACATATACTTCCAGCTCACAGCTCAGCTGGAGTGCAAATTATAAAACACATCCATAACAGTAGAGCCACTACGGCACTCTAATAGGACAAAACCATGAATTAGTATAAATATCGCATCATGATGAGTATCAGGTATAACTTGTCATCCAACTCTAGCAAATATATTTATTGTATAACCCTATACCTTAAGCAATATCGAGAATGATCTACATACTAGGGCTATCAGTAGAATCAGCAATACACTTTATCAATTTGCCACCACCCGCATAACAATCACGATTAAATACTTTCCTCTCCCCCTTAGCTACTACTTCCTAGTAATTGCATTCCATCATTATATACCCTCGTCCACTTTATCATTATAGTAACGGAGAAGAAAAAAAATGAAATGATAGTAAACAGCGCGTAACTATAAGATGTTCTAGTATACTAAAAATACTATATTTACATCATAAGGTGTGGCAGCATGCTACTAGCCATTATATATAGTACTACTAGTTAGTAGAGTATATCTTACCTTTTATATATCAGTGGTCTCACATGTATCATTCATAGAAGGTACTAGTAAGGAAAGAAGGTTGTGGGGGGGGAGATGGGCGGGGTAATGCTACTACTATGGATATATATGCATTGCACTCAGTGGTTGATTCAATTCCATTCTGCTACTTATTAGGTCTATTGTAGTTGTATTTATTATTATATATGAAAAGAAAAAGGTAGAATTGGAATAGTAATTATAAATCATGAAGGAGGAGGCGGATGTTTGTGTGAGTAGATACTTTTCACAGTATTGTGTCTGCTGTTACTCCTACTCCTCCTTACTTTTACTGGGTAGTGGGTACTAATCGGGAAGAAGATGTTCATTTGGGGAAATAGTAGTTACTACTAGTGCATGATGAACACATATGGTTCAATGACAACTAAAGTCCCCTACAGTATATTGCAAATTCCCACTACTACTACTGCTGGTGCAGATATTAAACAGAACTTAAGAGAGGAGGTTATCGTTGCTCATATTGCTATGGTATGGTATAATATCTACTAATCGAGCATCAGCTCAAGTTGATGCTCATCCTAACCCTACAGTTAGAAGGGCATGTATGCATGCTATATATAATCCCAGTGGGAAACTCCGACAAAATGTCGTAAGTCGCCCAATTTTAAAAAAATCCAAATATTGTTCATGAAAAAGGAAGAATCGCGATGATTCCCAGGGGGTATTGTATTTATCGACACCGTTTACGCCAAATTCATAACTCCTGTTTGTCCAGTCCCCATATCTCCCAATGTTGCAGCACGTCCCAGCCAACGCGTCGGACACGCCGTCGCCAATAGCGACCGTCGCGATGAAGGACTTGCGGAAGGCACGGGTTCATGCCTGGGTCGGGTGCTTGCTCGTCTGCCGGCTGGTTGGCTTCTCCTGGTTCTGCGGTGGGGGTGTCTTCTTCTCGTGTCCGTTTGCCTAGTACTGAAGGTGGGACATGTCCGTTTCGCTGCGAGGGCACCATTGCATTATGGCCGTTGGCTGTTGGGGAGGGTCTCTCGGCTGGTGGGCTCTTGTCGTAGCCTACGTTGGCTTCTGCGCTGGTGGCGCGTGAGCCCGTGGGTGTCTGTAGCTGGACGTGTCCGTGGGTTTCGGCCTGCTCGGCTGGCACGGTGTAGTAGTCTCCTAGTTGGAAGCCCTTGCGGCCCAGTCCAATGACCTTCAGCCGGTGAAAGATCTGCTGGTCTGCAAGAGATTCGCTGAGCCTCGCGATCAAAGTGTCATCGTCGGCTTCCACAATGTCAGAGAGCGTACGGGCGGCGATGAGCGCATTGGCAGATGGAGAGAAGTATTTAGATGTCTTAGGGAGCGGCCCAGTACGAGCCGTCTCGGACGGTGAGGTACAGGTGGGGATGAGGAGACGCAACGCCTTTAGATTTCGGAGGAATGGAAGAAGAAGCCCCAATGCTTCCAGGTCGGAAAATTCTGTGGCGAAGCCAAGCTGCTCCAATTGCGGACTGGCGTGGACAAGGCGCGCGACCGTGGGTGCAGATAGGGGCCAGCGAGCGGGGAGTAGAAGATGTCGTAAGGTGGCTGCATGATTCAGAGTGATGTTGTTCAGGTATACGTCCCGGACGCTTGTTTGCAAACCGGAGGAGTTAGTTGCAGCGGCAGAGCAATTGGTGGAAGTACCATTAGTAGCGGGTTGAGAGGTGTCAGACGAAGGGGGAGAGAGTGCGGCAGCAGAGGTCAGAGGTCGAGGGGAGTTGATATCATCGTTGGGATTATGAGTGGCGTTGACGAAGTATAACCGTTCCAGACCAGTAAATTGGTTTAAGAATTGCGCATGTCTCTTGCTCACGGCATCCTGTCGCATCGATTTAATACGAATGGGATGAGCCGGCATTGTGGGCCAGGTGCTATCCACAAAGGTGTTCATCGAGAGATCCGCACCGCCGTGCTGGAGAATGGTCACGTCTTCTACAGTGGTTTTATTCACCGCGAGACCGAAATCCTCCGTGTGCAAGGCGTACAGGTTCTGCAGGCCAAGTTTCTTGATTGAAAGGGGTTGTTTGGCGGCGATGCACTTGCGGAAGTAGTCGTGAACCATGACACTAGGCTCCTGCGCATTGCGCATGCGGGGAGACCAATGCATGTTGAGCTCCCGCAGCTTGCGACACTTGAACACCAGAGTGGAGATGTCATCCGGATAGCAAAGCGGATCAATGTCGGTAACCTTTAGATACCGCAGATGTGGCATGGGTGGAATCACGATGGTTGGGCGGGGATGTCGACTCGAAGGAAAGCGAATAGTCAAGGCCGTCAGCTTAGGCAGCTGCGCCAGCCCAAGATAGACAGTTTCCAGCATTTTGGTATTGAGTTCCCAGCTGAAGCTTTCCAGTTCCGTCATCCGATCGACCGCCGCACGCACCGCAATGTTCAGCATCATCGACGAGTCCGGCACGCGACCCACGCGCGCATGTTCCTCGAGCTCGAGCTCCCGCCAGTTGCCTCGAAGCGTAAGCGACCGAACGAGCGTAGCATAGGGACGGGTTATGATGGCGTTGAGACCCATGGAAAAAGGGCTGGCGCTACCCATACCCTCGGGTTCGTCGTCGCGATATCGGATTTTGTCATAGGAGGTTAGGGTGATGTGTTTGTAGAGCTGGGGGAGAGCCATGTAGTTGAGAACGCGGCATGCTCGACAGAGACGGGCGAGATCGCCGGGATCATCTACCTGCAAGAGAGCACGAGGTGGTTAGTGGGTTGCACAAGCTCCATCCATGAGAGCAGTAGCTAGACGAACGTAAGAGACGATGACCGCGATTAAGTTGAGTGGTAGGATCATTAGCGGAGCGCCCTGGGGGCGATCGGTGGTGACGCTGGCTTCAAACATGTTCCGGTTGACAGCCGCCATGATGCGACGCCCAGGGGCGATAGGGTCGCAGCATGGACTGGGGAAGAGACAAGGGGGAATGGAGATAAGCCAGGCGAGACATGTATCAGAGGGACAGAGGCTCTCCGACTGGGGCGGGATGAAGTCGAAGTAACTTTTCCGATGAGGATTATCGCGGGATGGCAGATGCCGGAAACTCTTCGATGTTCCACTGCTGAGTCAGGATCCCGTCTCCTCTCTTTTTAAGGTCATTATTAAAGTTAATTAAGACCTCGAGTGAATTTAACCCCCCTCTCCTTCTTCTTCATCTGCACAACCGGTTCAGATTGTAGGAGAAATAACATTCCTGCCAGTTTGACAGATGTGAGGTGGGCGATCACACGTGGTGAGAAGCAAGGAGGATAAGTACGTAATTCACTTGGCACATTGACTCCCCTCCACCTGATAGGAACTATACATACTATGGAGACAGCAGGTACAACATCCAGGTTATTACAAGAGCATAGGCTGTGCTCGGAATTTCCCTCTGATTGTATCCTCCAGTCTGCGGGCTCAATTCAAGAAACAATCAGATCCCTGCTCTATTGTCCTGCTGCCTGTCATATCGAGGTTAAACAAATGATTTGCATATTTCAAGCCTCGCTTCTAGAATGATGACAACGGCGAACCCATCTGTCAGATTCGGAGTATATATTGACTTTGTGCGAAGGTAGATTGTATTGATACCAATAATTACCACCTAACTAGTCCTAGTATTCTCTTGAGAAATGCAACGATGCCAACGAAAGGGAAGAAGTACTAAGCAGGCCACTCATGCTATAGTTATACTACTCGTGAATCAACTAAAACAATTACAACATATCAGCATAACACACAACTCCCCCAACTAACCCAGCTTATTCCACTCCCCAATCGTAAACTGCGAATTACACATATTCGTCAACTCCCAAGTCTCCGCCCCCAGCACAACCTTGCTCCCTTCATCCTCCCACTCCCCAACAGCGCCCGCCACAAAAAGCGCCGCCATGAAATGATCATCCGTAGCATGCGCATCCCTATACTCAGGGTGTTTCATCAACCTTGTCATCGCACGCCTCATCTTTGGCCCACCAGAACACTTAACCATAACATCCTCCACCGCCTGACGAAACTCCAACGCCCAGTCCTCCGGCGGCGTCTCCATCGCAAAGGTATCACGGAAGCGCAGCATCGGCGCCCACCGATTCCGGTAGAGGTTGTGCACGGCACCGCCAGTGCCGATGATGAGGTAGTTCTCGCGACGGAGCTGGCGCAGCGTGGAGCCGACTTTCATGTGGTAATGGGGGTCGTAGCGGGCGTTGGAGGAGATGAGGGTGGTGGGTGGACAGGCGGCAGGAAACATGCGGATGAGGATGAGGTAGACGTCGTGGATCCATTCGAAAGTGTCGTTGCCGGAGGCTTTGAAGCCGGCTTGGTTGAGGAGGGAGATGCATCGGTGGGAGGTGGGTAGGTCCGGGTTGAGTTTGTAGTCGACGTATTTGGACGGGTGGACGTAGGCGACGGGGCTTTTGCCTGGGTTAGGGTTCGTGGAGACTTCGATGCCGTCGCCGTGGCAGGCCCAGTGGGCGCCCTGGTGTTGAGTTTAGTGGTGATACTAGATGGAGATAGGGAAAGAATCGGTGATGATGTACCATGATGACCACGCCTTTGATGCCTTGTGCTAGGGCTTCGTCGCCGCATTTCTTCCAGTAGTCGGCTGAAGTGGACTCTTCGCCGAGCATCATGGTCGAGCCATGAGAGAAGAAGTGGACGGGTGTTAGTCCTGTACCTCGTAGTTACTTAGTATGCGCTGCATAGACCCACAGTGGGAGTACGTACCCATGGTGGTGTCTTCCTAGTGTGCTATATAGTTAGTGTTGAATGACAATGCTAAATATTCGGCATATACTAATGCTTTCTATAATAACGTCGATTAAGTCTGCATGCTGATGCTAGTCTGGTTGGATGCAACGCTGGCACTTATACAATGCCTCCTGTCGGGACCATCGGGTCGGCGGACCACAAACCGAGAGGTCCATCCAAACAGCGCAACTCCGGCCCCCGACCAGCATTTCCGGGGTTAAGGTGGTCCCCACAACTGGGGAAGAAATATACTTTGATCATCTCGTAACGTGTGGGGTTGCTGAACCTGCCGGGATTGCCGGCATTCTCGACTCGGTGGCAACTGGGATGTTCATTACAGCTTACTCTTTTACTATACCCGTACCTAAGACAGCAATATATCGCATTAATATGCCATAACAACATGTATAAGAAGGGAAGATCAGTGATATATGCATCCCAAGGGTATCTTTGTACATCAACAGTGCAGTCGCCTGAGACATGGAGGGCTCCAACCAACCCAGACCAGCCTATGCATACACCCGTGCCCAGCCCAGCCCAGCCCAAGCCCCTGATTAAACCGAACATTGAAGAAAGCAAGTAAAGCAAGATTTTGACCCGGAAGAAATAATGTCAGAAAAGAAAACTCCAGTAGTAGACCAAACGGCAGCACCCAAGACCTCCAATACTCCCCGCTAAAAAATCAGACATCAGCGGCAGGAAATGCGAAACAGAAGCGAAATGGAGTGTTTTAAGACAGAAAGACGCAGGCAATCACACGTTACGCGTGAACGTCACTGCTAGCCATGTGGCCCTCGTGATTCTTCAGGAGCCTCATCGGGAAGAGGTTGGGTTGGTGATATAGGTGCTCCTTCCGTCGGGTCGAGTTCCTGCTCGGATTGTTGGCGCACAGCCGGCCCCCGAGTAGGCTCGCTGACCGAGCCATCGGCGTCCAGCGCCGGCTGAGATTCAGAGCCATGCTCACCAGGTTCCACAAGCGCTGCAGCTTCAGGGTCATATCGCAGCTCATAATTGCCATGACTGAACCCTTGTCCATCGGCTGCGCTCCATGGAGCGGCGGTTCGCGTTTGCGGCTGAATCACCCTCACAGGCAGGTCATCACGACCCGGCGGAACACGCTGGTTCGAAGTTGTTGTTCGTGAACTAGGCTCGTGATATTGTTGCGGCGACCAGGTCTGTTGACCGCGGCGTCTAGCCGGAATAACCGTGACTGGCAAGGGAGAGTCGGAGCCTTGTCGTCCAGAACCAGGTCGCAGTCGTCGATGGAAGTCAAACCGAAAATCATGCCTGGGATGCAAGCTGTGCTCATCGTCGCTGTCATCCAAGGAATGATGCTGTGGTTCCACTTGAGCACCTGCGGGATTCCCCTCTTCCTCGGCCTGTGCAGAAGCGACTTCTCTTGGTAAAGATGCCCGCCTTCGCTTGAAAGGATTGAGCAGCGCTCGCCACCTTTTATCCACGTGCACAATCTGAGGGGATTGCTCCCGGGTCTGTTGTTGTGCCAGCGCATCTTGCGCCAGGCCGGCTTGCTGACCGTCGGTGGTCATCTCCTTTGCGGCCATTGCTTCGTCAATGTCTTCATCCTCTTCCTCCATGTGAGGCATGGCCACCGGCGGAGTGGGACTAGAAACCGGATGATAATGTATGTTGTATACCGTGCTGGCCGCGCTGGTTGTGTCAGCGCGACTAACAGGCGTTATTGCTGCTGGGGGAGGAGTTGGTCGAGGCGCCATGCGCCGGCGCCGAGGGTCCATGGGAATGTTGTGCTGCTGATTCTCCAGGTTCGACTGCCAATTACGACCAACCCTCGTACGTAAAGGTCGATGAGCCAATCCCATCATGCCTCCCCAGCCTGAAGATGTTCCACCGCCTCCACCTCGATCATGGCCGTCAGGGTTGTAGCGCGGCCAATCGACCTCTTCCGAAGGAGTCACTTCCAACATCTCGTCTCCATCAAATATTTCGCGTCCAAGTATTCCATCCTTCCTCTCATCGCGTTCCAAAGCCTCGATCCGCTCCACCCATTCCCATACCACGACACTCGCTGCAGCAGAACCAACCCACCGAACATAAGTACCCCATCCGGCGATTTTCGGTTTTGCGATATCCAGAACAAAGAACACAACGGGTATAAGGATCGCACATAACGAGAGCAAGGCCACCAGGCAGATATTCCTCATTTTCGGATGGAAGAAGGCGAATCGATGTTTCGAAAGCGAATAAAAGATGACCCAAGCGGCGTACAAAAGGTTGAGAGCAAGTTCAAATAAATAGCTGAGAGCGGGGATCGCGTCCTCGTATAGCCGCGGATGAACGGTGTCGGTCTTAACCAAGAATTTGTCGAGGATACTAAACGTGGTATCAAACACAATTAACGCGAACCCTGCCCACTTGATCATGATTTTCTCCTTATGTCGAGGAAACAGCCGAATCAAGGTCTGAATCTGGGCCAGCCACAGGAAGGTGCTGGAAATGATTCTGACCACCCGGATCTCCATACCGTCGATGACCTCGTCCGCCAGCGCTTCAGCATCGGAGTACCCATAATAATATTGTTGCTCAGCCACACGAAAGGAGTCGACAGTCGCAATGGTGAGTGATACAGCGACTAACAAGGCCGCGACCTTTTGTAGCCACGGCCGACCACCCACGCCAACCACCGACGAATTACCACTGTACGAACCGCTAATCATACCATGACGTCCGAGAAAGTTTGCACCACCACCAGGACCCCCAACATAAAACGTACGCGGCGTGATGAGAAGTATTATAACGAGAAGATAGCTGACAACGGTCGTACAGCCCATAGCATACAGCGCCGGGGTAACGGAGGAATAGAAAGGATCGGTGACATCGAGCGCGGCGACCGCATGGGCCGTGGCAGTTGGCGTGCCCGTGCCGGTACAGATGGGATCGTAGATGGCATTTTCGGTCAAGGCGATGGAGTAGGAGCGATTCAAATAGACGTAACCTGCAAAGCAGCCGCCGAAGCGCCGCGTCAGTGTAACCGGACGGAAGCGAATTTTGTTTGACGGGCCGCATTCAGGCCCAGCACGAATCGACATACCGGAACTGGGTAATAGAAAAGGCGTGCAGTCCGCTTCATAGGTCCTGGTGGTCGTTGTCGTTGGTTGAGCCCATATTTGGCGAGGTGTTAGATGAGCGGGTTCCCCCATGGTCGGCGGGGACGATTGATTTCTCCTCGGAGTAGCCCTCAGACCCCTACGAGATGAGGCGTAATGGCTATCATCAATGCCCTTGTCAAAGTGGACCCGTCACATGTGGCCTTTTCAAGCAACCATCATTCCGGCGGGGAAGGGTGGTGCTGGTAGAAGAAGACGGAGGGACAGGCAACGAAGGGCGCGAGAGTCGAGGCGAGAGCGAGTTGCTTTATCCGATGTTGGACGGGCGGAGGAAGTCGGGGGAAGTTGGGATGAAAGGGAAAAGGGGGGGCCGGGGAGACAGGTTTCGAGGGGATCCGCGTCGGGGTTTGGTGATCGGACAGAAATCTGGGAGGGATTTGGGGGAGATGAGGGAGCGAACAACAACGGAGCGTAGGGGAAGCGGTGCTGTGAAAGGTGGTACACGGGTTGATACGTCGTGGAGAGTAGCAGGCGAGGGGGAGGAGGATTTGGCAGCGCAATAGAAAGATCCGCCACCCGCGGTCCAGATTGCCGTCGCCAGTTCGGCTCTTCTTGTACACCGCTTGCCAAATCTCCACCTCAACAACTACAGTACTTAACTATACTTCTTTCTTTCTACTGTACAGCTATCTTGTTCGAGATTCTTGCTAGAGTTTCTGCAATGCAACAATGACGACTGTCTTGATGGTGTTCATGTATGTACAGGTTGGCTAGACCCCCAATTGTAGGTCCACACCAGCAATCATGACAAAAACTCAACCCGCGATGGGAACCCAAGCATAAGACGAAGGCCACGAGGGAGAAAGGTTTGACTGACGGTCGATCACATGGAGACCTCAGCCTCCCAACAAAACAAGCATGGTAGTACAGGTGGATGAGAGAGGACCGGATTTACCCAGATCCCATGCACTGCGACCCCTATTCAGACACCACTTCCGTCGTACAAACATCCCCATTACTCCACCCCTTTCTATAATTCAAGCAGCGATCGGGGTCTCACACCCCCACATTCTTCCCCCGGAAAAGCTCCTACAGTCTTCCCATCATCTCGGAGGTGGCCCGTACGACATCTGCGTCGGAGGCAAGTATGGTGATACCAATGCTGCCCCCGTGGCACTGGCATATCTCCCGCGTTCTTCTTCCCGTTTCTTGACCTCGACCTCGTTTTGGATGAGCGTACAGCATGTGCAGCACGTTGCTCGAACGCAATCGGAGACAATATCCCCTTCAATTCTATAGGCTTTTCGCGTTCGACGGCGCTGGTACGCCGCCAGAAAACCTGCGACAGCTTGTTAGCATACCCTGCCGGTGCTGAAGACTGACGTGAGAGGTGCGCACTTACATTGACAACCGCAGAGCAAAGCCATAACAGTGCAGGAGCTATTGCACGTTTCATACCCGAGCATATTTGTTGGATCTTCATTTCTTGACTTCATAGAAAGTCGATATTGCGTTTTCCCGAATAGGACGCATGGACAGAGTAGCCCGAGACAGCATGACCCAACATCATAGCATCCGCACATGCTAGTGCGCCACGATCCGCCTTTTATCTCAAGATCTGGGTGAGTTATTTGACCTGGGCGATGATATGCCATTAGATCAAATCCTACAGGTGTTGTTGGCGCCCCGTGGGCGACTGGAGGGGGAAACTGGGGTAGTTGGGGCGAATGTAAAGGATTCGTGTCTGGTACAACAGCCATAGGCTCTTTTTTCGGTAACGGCTCTGCCATTTCCAGGTCCCTTTTGACTGGGAGAGGGCCTGGGGATTGCGGAGGCTGTGCGTATGAGTATTCGGGCACTTTTGGATTCTGCTGGACTTGCTGGATCTCGTCGGCGTACGGCGCATAGTTGGCTGGATGTTGCTCGAGATTCGGTCCGCAAGGGTAGCCTTGAACGGCCATATCTTGCTGGTACTGTTGCGACTTTTCGTTTAACGGCGGTTGAAAGTGCTCCACGACAGTCTGTGGTTCTGCTGACTGGGCGGCCGCTGGAGGTGTGATCTCATCTCTCAGTTGGCTCCCTGGAGCGTGCATTTCCAGTGGAGTTTCCATATAAGAGTATCTCGGATTGGGGCCCAGAGTGGCCGTATTAAGCTGCAGTTGTCTGTTCATGTTGGCGGTCGCTTCTGATCCCAGATCGCAAACTTGTAGACCCGTCTACAGCTTCAGACACTGTATTCCTAGTGCACAGAGCTTTCCGGCTCTTTGGACCTCAAAAGGGAAAGGCTATCGCAGGGGTGAACGGTAACTTCAGATCGCTCAAATGCGGTCGTTCCGTAGGGATCTACATGTACCGGCGAGGCGTAAACCCTCCGCTCGTAACCCGGAGGAGAGAAGCATCAATAAGCAGCACAGCACAGTGAGTGTGCGAAGATGAAGTTCTTCAACATTCAAGTAGTAATATCCGAGTCACCAAATCCAGAACCAAAGAAGAACAAAAAGGAAAGCGAAACAGAAAAAAGAATTCAGAAGCACAACCCACACCCGCCAGGACAAGAAACCGGAAGGCAGCGAGATTATAACTAACTAAGCAAAGCAAGTATAGTGGCAATTGGGTGATCACAATCGCCGGAGGTGGAGAGGGGATGGCATGGCGCTTGGGAAAGGAAATGGATGGACGACAAGCAAGCAAGCAAGTTGCTTTGCTGCTGCGGTGGGGGAAATTCAATCATACGTATTGTAGTTAGTTATTGGCCAGTGAATTAAGCGTCTATGCACAAGTTGCGCCGAACGAACCCCTAGCGCTGCACCCTTATGTGGCTCTGTTCACACGAGTGATGAATCCTGTTGGTCTGGCGGTCTTTCGGATCATCCTGTTGGGTCCCGAAGCACACACTTTCTCTTCGATTCTCATCACATTTTCGCCGGTCGGCTGGCGTCACATTGGATGGTTGCCGACGCACCATTTCTTTCCATCCCCTGTCTTTTTCTTACCCTCCCCTCTTTCTTTCTCTCCTTCGTACGTAGTTCCGCGACAGTTGCCTATCACAACGCTCCTGGTTGGCTGGATTGCAAACTGTCGCTAGTAGCTCAGTACTAAGTAGTTACCGGGGGGTGAGTGCGTATCCGCCTATTGTGATGGTGGTTTCCCTCCGGAGAGAATATCCAGCCGCTGGCAGTCATAGTTACTATCGTCTGTTAGCTAGCCTGCTGGCTAAGTATGTACCTATAGTCACTGCCAGCGCGAACTACTACTAGTAGTACTTTGTAAGCGGTTACATCCCCGTATGCACCAGTGATGCAGGCAGAGAGAGCATGGTGACCAGCCGAGTTGCAGTGCATGCCATGCCGCTCGGGAAAATGCGTAGCGATAACATGGCATGTACGCGGTAAGTTCTGGATTCGTAACGGCTTGGGGATATATCATCGTGCATCTAGACTATGAAGTATTAGTTTGGCGTGGAGAGCTCAGCTGGATCCGATCCATAAGCGTTATGAACCTCCGGATAAACATTAAGTAAAACTAGGATGGATGGCCATTACCCCTCATTCATTCAGATAATCGGTGGGTGAAACTAGTGTCCCTGCATCAGAGCAGCATATTGGTCACTTTCCATCATCACACAAAGTACAAGATAGCTAATAGATTAGGAAGGATATCCTGGGTTCTCAAACACAGCATCACGTGATGCATGCTTACACAGCTGTAATGCCTAAGGCTGCATTCACATATGTGCCTTCAGGTCTCTGGTGTCTTGGCGCCAGGGCTGGATGCGACAGACTATTTCTACCACTACAGATGATCGTACTGCATTCTCTGCAATAAGAGAAATGAAGTGGACACGTAACAGACCAGGTCCCGTCAAAGGTTGATACTCTCAGAGAGAGTGGAACAGCAAGTGTAGTGTCATTGATGCATTAGTACACTACCATACCAAGAAGCATGATGAAAACAAATGCTAAGAAGCTTGATTCATCCGATTTTGATCGAACTCAGCATCTCCAAATACTAGTCCACATGCATCATTAGCAAACGGATCAGTTGAGTTTAACCGTTTCAGATTCATGCAAAGGAACTTCCCTCCAACCCGTTAAAGGACATCAACCGGCGTGTAACGAACGCATTGGGCCCTCTGTGGCGCAAGCCCCATCCATTCAATTCCCGGAACGAAAAAAAGAAAAGCTTAGGGTTGACCGCAAACTCCACTTGGAAGTATGTAACTCCACTACTCTATTTGGTCTGCTTCTCCATACTATTCGGTATGTTCCTTGCAAAGAATTATACCACCAGAATTGTGAGGATATCACACTTCTTTCACGGCTATTAATGATTACTATGCTCCTTCGATAGAAACAACAATCTCGGACAATTCCCTTGATGAATGCATATGCAACGGTGTGAAGAAACCGGTTGCTGACAGTTTCACAGACAAACAAGCAAGCGTAACAACAAAAAAGAAATGAAAAGAAACTCTCGCAGCATGACTAGTCAGATTTAGGCTTCTAGCAAATAGGAATGAAATATCTCAAGCCAATCAAACGGCTTGGAAACACTCGGAGATATCCCCTAAAGTCATCAAACCTTGTCATCAGGACGCTCCAGGATAGATTCCTTCCGTGGTCATCTGCAAATTCCATAAACTCTGAGTTCAGCCACAGGGTAACAGTTGGGCATTTTGACAGATTCTTTCCCGCCTTTCGTACGGTTTAAAGAAATACTAGTATGGCAAGTAAGCACGGAAGAATGTCGATCAATCGGTCCATCAAGTACAAGATAGAAAGTTTGTTCCTTGGTAGAAAAGTTCCGCTACTTTTTAGGGTTCTATTCTAGAGAAGTAACCTAATGAACTGGAGCAAATTCACGATATTGAGTCGGCCTTTTCAGGAAACGTCTTCCAAAAAGAAAAAAGGGTTTCAAATCGCAGGCAAGTCGCGATAGAGCAAATTCCTTCGAATTAGGTAGCAGTGAGTCACCTTTCAAGCACAGTGTCTATATAAATGGCTCGAAATCCCCGTTGTGTACTCAGTGATCAGATCAACTCTAGCCAAGCACAAGAGTACTACTACACGTCTTTACTATTCCTACTTCAGTGAAATACGAGAACGACAAACAAAGCTGCAGAAACACCAGGATCAGGTCACAACATCCCGGCAAGATGTTCAATAGTTTCAGCGAACGGTATGCCGATCAGGTGAAGTTAGTTACGGATGCTCTGGACCAAGCTGGAATCAATAACGTACTTTGGGGCCACGTCATTGAGCACTTCCTCGAAAAAAGTGTTTCGTCGGTAAGCACACTCCCCCGGTCTCTGACAATGGTCCCTGGTTTTCTTTTCTATCTCTCTCTCTCTCTCTAACATAACCAATAGTGTATCGATTACATCATTCACGATGGCATGGCCGAAAAAGCATGCCAGACCCTTCTGGCTGCGGGGCTCGAGCCATGCGAAAACGGGGGGGAATGTACGGCGACGAGACATTGGGAAGATAGGATGGAGGTTGCAGCGCATGTGCACTTAGAAGGAACCACTTTAGGGGGTAATAAAATACCTGTGATGTTCTGGGAAAAGTCGTCTCTTCTTTGGGCGTTCCCCGAGTTACCATCGTCTCCTCCTTCGTCGGATGATCCGTACTACATGCCAATCAGGATCCCATGGACCTACTACGATAGTAGGTCGCAGCGTCCTCCAATAGATTTGACTCCTGCAAGAATGATCAAACCAGTCAAGATCGTTGAAGCCCTGATATGGCTGATGTGTCGGGACCGGAATCCTAATGAGGGATTGGAATGGGGGTGGGAGCATCGGTGGCAGGAGATCTTGGAATCCTGGGTGCAGAAAGCTCCAGGTCTTGCTGAGCATGGGCTTTTCTGCCGGAACGAATTGCGACCCGATTTTCTGCCTCTTTGGGACTACCTCTGTGGTGGTGAAGGTGGACAGACCCCCAAGAAGCATCGTGCACACTATTTGGGGCTCCAAGCGAAGCTTCGTGCGGAAAATACTCTACCAAGCACACCGCAACCAAAGAGAAGAACAATGAAGCGGCTAATGCAGATTATTGAATATCATAGTGAGAAGGAGTATCAGAAGCGCGTAAAACGTTACAGCGGCAATACCCCTTGGATTGAAGAAGACTAATTCCGAGGTGGTACTACTTACGACGAATGCATTCTTTACTTTGGTTCCCACCCCATGGCGTCTCCGCAACCTATGTCACACCAGTCGTAATAAATCCTAGGTACTACCTATAAGAATTTATACCAAGTTCGGATGATTTGAACGTACTTTCATCGCGATGTAGATTTAGCTTCACCACGATAATTGTCATGAAACACCTTTTCGGGTAGAGTTTCTCACACGGGGAAGTCGGAAAGGAAGCCGGGGGAGCTTCGGTTGGCATTGGTGTCAGAACACAAATGCAAAGGTACTAGATAGTAGAAAGCATACGGAGGATTTTCAGAATTTCACCACACGAGGCCCGAAGCTGATATGCATAAGAAGAGGCCTGGTCGTCCTCTTCTCTTTGAGCGATTAGAAAGATCTCAGCATCGAATGATGACGCCAAATGCAGGACAATACATTGCCTGGAGGCTATGGCCTCAGTGCAATCGCACCATAACAACCAGTATCGTGCGCAGCAGACAACTTGATGATATCAAAATAGTCGTAATCGGTGCGCAGTCCATTAAGCACAGTCTCCCGGCCGTTGCAGAACTGTATACAGTATGTATCCTTGACCGACTTATTCCATTCCAAACCACCCATTCCTTACGAAGCAAGCGCTATCCCCTTTACACATTTAGAAACTCACTGACTCGTCCGATGAGCCGTACGAGGCCAACACGGTCTCTGTGGCAGTGTCAGGGCAGGGGTCGATTCCCCGACTGATAGATGTCTTGAACACCACCCGCCTTTTCCTCCCCAGTGGCACGAATCGCGTAGTATACAGAGACCCTTTCAGTGAAGGCGAGATTTTTGTCGAGTTTGTCCCAACACCCGAGGTGAGTGACTACTCTCTCCGGCTATTCATGAGCGCTGGATGACATTTTCCGTTTCTTTTCTTTCTTTTGGTTTTATAGCTTTTGTATTTACCAGCCTCTGCCACAAGAGTCGCCGACTTAGGAAACACCGCATACAGTATCCCATGCTCATCTTTAGTGGATGCGCTGATCGATTATTTCTGGCGCTCTTCCGACTGGTCGGCAACTACAGAATCAGATGATTTTCCGTATCGTCTGGTGGAGAGGATCCCAAACTTTTCCAATAACATCCCCCTGGTAAGCAATGCACAGAGACTTCTTGTGCGAATTGCACTGGCTCGCGCATATCATAGGAATTGGCGACGGAGTTTGAGATGATGGAGAAGGAAATTCGATATCAGGTATTAGCTATTGATATGGGCTGATGAGTATTTCTATTTTGTTTGGTTGCTTTCGTTCATTTTTGGGTGGGTAGTAATTTGTGCAGAAGCGACGGAACTTTGATCATTGAATTTGCTTGGTATAATTTGCTCGGCTGGAGTCTTGTTAGTGAAGGGAGCTACAAATTGATGTATTGAGTCTGTTAACTATTCATTTCGTTCAAGAATCCCACGTCCTCTGGGATGGCCTGTCTGACCGGAGGTGTTGGTTGTTTCGGTTCTGGTCTGCTGATGGGAATTTTACCAGTCACATTTGCGGCATCATGGTTCTGCATTCTGTAAAAGTAAATTGCGAAGCCAAAGGTGAATTGATGAGTTGTCAGCTCTATGTCAGGGATGATCCTAGTCAATGGTAGATGGACGGAGGGGACGAGAGGGTGAAACAAGAACTTTCAATATGCTGCTCGACGAATGGAAGAATGGACAACGATCACCTGACGCCGCTGGCATTGTTCAATCCGTGCTGTGTGCAGTTCTTCGTGCAAGGGAATCAGGATGGTGTAGTGTCAATCTCAGATGTGACAGGAACACTTTTTGACCGGACTGGAGCAATGCGGCAAATAGACAGCATCAAGTTAGTACTGATAGGGTACTAGAAACACTAAGAGCTGAGAGTTGGATGGAATGAGTGGATGGATGTCGGGAGAATGCCAGAATTCGAGCTTTTAGTACGCCGAAGTAAACAAAGTATATAATATTTGACAAGAATACCGAAAACTATCTATCTAGTATGTACACAATATGGCAGGCACCGTTCTATCTATGCACAGTATGTGATGAGTGGGTTACAAGGACAAGCGCTGGCGCGAAAGCATAATAGAAGTATCGACGGTTGCACCATCGATAAAGTCATTCATGAGAACAATAGTCCTCTCGGCCCGAAGTCTATCCAGAGCATTCTTTCTAATCCAAGGCAAAGTTTGCATGTCAAGCATCCCCTTGGTCGACGTGAGACAAGAGCTAGCCGCTGCTGCAGAGAAGACGCTGTAGATAAGCACTTCCTTGATAGACTGGGAGGTCGCCTGGCACTGCAGGATGGTCAAGTCGGAGTCTGCCTGTCCCTCGGTAGTCATGGACTCGAAACGGTCGATGATCGAGTCGGCACTCAGTGTTGCGTATGCTTCAGCGGTCCAGCTATCGTACTTGTCGGCTTCGATGACAACAATCAGACGAGTCCCCGTGCGGCGCAAATCCTCAATCGGTTGTTCAAAGCACTCGCGTGTTCCCCAGGTGAGCGGGCTACGCACTGCCCTGGCACACGCCTCATTGAACAGATCTGAGATCTCGTCTTCTGTAGGCCGCTGGCAGTCTGCCACGATGTTATCCCATCGGATATGAATTGTGACAATCTCCGTTTGGTTCTCGTCGAGGAAGGCGACCTGCTCGCGGAGGAACTCGTCAAAGGCAATACCGGGGATGCACGCATGCTGGAAGTAGAAAGTGTCTCGTAGGGCAGACACTTTCTGAAACATGGGAAGGAGCTTAGCTGGACGAAACTCGAAGTACCGTGCTCCCATGGCCAGCATAGTCGAGACGGTTTTCTTTTGGGTGATGGAGAGGCCATATACGATATGAGGTAGCTTCTTCATGAGAAAGTGGTCAGGGACGTGATTGACGTGCTCGAGCAGAGGGACAAGGCGGCGAACGACTGCCAGCATGTCCGAATCGAGATGCTGAAAGATGGCCTCGCATGCCGTCATCCCATTCATTCCATTGTCGTGTGGCGCAGCCAGCACGAAGCGCGAGAAGGGCTGCTGTGCAGCAGGAGAACCCGGAGGAGCCACACTTCCCATCCACTCCCGATTTTCTCTCGAGCAGATGGTCACATAGCATTGATGGCGATCGGTGAGACCAACCTCGCCGTGACCCGCGGCATAGAAGCCATAAGTGATGATGGCGTCCTCTGTCACGATCGGGTGGAAGTCCTGTGTCGCGACCATCGTGCCTCCCTCGATCTTTCCCGTCAGACTGTTAACCTCATTATGTGCGCCAGCCACCTGTTCTCCATAGCGAAAGACGGTCCATTGGAAGCGACCTGTGAAGTTGCCGAGCCCCTGAATGTGCGACGAGTCGATCTCGAGCTGACGGCTGGTAAAGTTGTGGGCCACATCATGGAGCACTTCCTGCTGGGGAACAGCAAAGCCGACTTCGTAGCCCGGAACGCCGATGTAGCTGTATACAGTGATGCCTTTGCTGGGCATAGTGAATAAAGGATGGTGTTCTCCCAATGGGGACTGAGGGTTGCTCGCCTTGGCGCATTGCCTTTCTGCAACTTGTCCCACTTGGATCGGTACTATTGAACTACTAGCCATTTTAGGAAGTTCCCTGTCTCCGGCACATCGTGGGATCACCGGATATGATGATATGCCAAGGTGTCAAAGGTATGATATGTATCGTGAATTATATAGCCTGCTAGTTGCCTCTTGATTCATCGTACTCATTGATTAGAGCGTTGCATATCTATGGCCCTTGAATCTTCGTGTTGTTACTCCGATCTCTATTGCCCATGTAGACGGCGCCCCCGTGAATTACTCTATGCGGTTAGTCTTTTGCCATTTATGGTTTAGCGCTCCAATACCTGTTAAAAAGCCCTGCCCTTTCGACCTCTTGTCAATAGATGTTCAGACTATCACAGCGTAGTGCTAATAGGCCAGTAGCGAAAATACCTCACATGTTCCTGGCCTCATTCGGCAACCAATAATGCTGAGACTACGATTGTTAACTGCACAGCCCTACGCGCATACTAAGCGGCGAACGACCTAGTCACAAGGATGACTGGCCTAGGCATGCATCGTAAATAGTCATCATCTAAGAAAGCAGGAATCGCAGTCAATGAACTACAACTCGTGTTCAAGGGTGTGGAAGACGTGATTTCCACAACCCTTTTCTTTTTTTAGTATTCTGTAAAACAAACATACCGGCTGACGGGGCCGGCCGAAGTGCTGATCTCAGTGATCATATTTTGTCAGATGTGTCTGAAATTTAGTTGGTGTCTTGATCAAGCTTCTTGAAGACTCGCCGACTTGATTCGGAAGAATTATGGAAGATATTCTGACACTACGCTTTCATGTGAATGCGAGGCAAATAACTTGCAAATCTCCCTCGCCATTGCAATTCTCGTTGCTCAATAAAGCCGGAGTATCTTGTTCAAGCATTTTGTCCCCCTCCGCTGGTGAATCTATACTATTGGGAATTTGTCAATTGGAATGGGTGTGATTAATACTTTTGCAGCGCCCTTCCTTCTACTGGTTCGGGGGTTGTATACGCAGTTCTGGGGGCATCAGAGAACCTAGGGTGGGCTTGTAAGTTTCTTATTGGTAAACCTCGTAAAACCGCCCCTGGGCTCGTCGAAGCTTCGCGCAGCGTATATCGGCAACCCAGTGACGATTTTGCGATGTGAAGGGGCTCTCTAACTCAGCTTGAAAAAAACTCCATGAATATTTCTTTCCTATTTCCTGGAGGGTTTTTGGCAGATACAGAGAAATGTGTGGAATTTGGGATCGTGCAGCGAAAATTGAGAGCGAAATCGTGAGAAGATGCTAATAAAAGCTTGTGCTTGGGTTAGATCATCCGAAAAATTCTGGACACCTGGGAGCCTGGGCACAAGACCCCTGAGATAGTCTTTGAGGCCCACCAAGGAGGCTGCGGAAGTGTGGATGTCGATCTGTACTATCGGATGGCCACCCTCGGCAACCCGAGGGGGCCGGGCCGGCCCCGTGCACACCAGAGGCACTGGACCTCCGGTGCCCCGGGGCCCGTGGAGTAGACTCTCCTGACATTCCATCATATACTATTATAAAGATTTTATATACATGTATTACAAAATAAGAAGTATCAAGCATGCTAAGAGCGCCAAATGTTTTACACCTGCTAATGTATATCAGGGTCACTTTTCAATCCACAATTAGGATCCATCACGATCAACTGAACAAAACTGGTATTCGCATCGCGAATGTCAGTTCGAATTTTCTTTTGGCTGCTTGGTAGTCCCATGCTGCTGGCTTCCTTTGTTGATCCGAACACAGAGGGGAAAAGGCGACCGAGCAAGGATCGCAAAGCGGGTAGGCAAAGACAGAAAATGCCCACATCGATTTCTATCACGGACCAGTAGCCGCCAGCAGCCATGTCCCCTGTTGCATAATCGTTAGAGGACCTGGTGAGTGGAAAAAAGGAAGTTCGGGAATGTAATATTACATGTTGCATTTGTGCTTGTTGCGAAGATCTTGACCATTATAGCGCGGTAGATGCCGACACCTGTGATTCTTTTTTTGATTAGTGTTAGTAGTCGAATGGTCCGAGGCTGAAGTAAGGAAGGCATAATGAAACCAGGAACTCACAAGAACCCCACAGAAAACATGAATGTGACTTGGAGTTTTGTACTGACTGATGCCTGGAGCTTCATCACTTTGGGTATAGGGAGGGCAATGACCCAAGCATCAAGTACGATATTCAAACCGGCGGCAGTAACCACTAGCGCATTCGTCTTGACGCAAGAACCGTGGTGCTCTCCATCCCAGCTCGTCCAGTTATAGCTAATAGGCGTGCATTGGAACGCGAAGGCAAATATGAAAGTTATGCCCCAGCAAGCGGTGATGATGCAGGATGCTTTGATAACGTGGCGCATTCGATCATTCGGGAAGATGCGAAGATAGAAGAGGAGGAAACAGATCTTGATGAGGGCGACACATGTGGCGTAGAGAATTTCTTGGATATAGAAAAGCTAATGGATATGGTCAGCAGGTTATCAATTCCGCGTGTCAGCTGGAAACTCGTACGTAGAGAATTCGAGTGATGTTTTTGAACTCGAGGGTCCAGATGTCCTTTCCTAGGCCTGCTTTTCCAACTGAACTCGATTTTTAGTAATGTCATTATGTCAACGTGAGAACTGAGGTGACCTACGCAAAACAGAACCGGAATTGACGGGCACAGCACAGCACTAGGAGAGTTAGATTTGAGAGATTCGAACCTCAGAAAAAGGAGGGTGC